CCCAGGGGAGGTTGAGACCCCAGGGGGCCCCACGCCTAGAAGCAGTTGCGGCGACGGGCGGGCCAAGAAGCACCCTGCTTGCCTGCAGGGTGCCCTGGGTGTCCTGGGTGTCGATGGTTTTGCGATGGAAGGCGTGACGCTCCCACACCACAAGTCAAGGGACGTCCTGCGGTTCCAGTGTTGGGTTTCTCGTGGAAGGTTTCTTGTGGTCGAGCTCCTCCTGTATACATACATATAGAGAGAGAGAGAGAGAGAGAGAGAGAGAGAGAGACGGGGAGGGGAAGAGCGGGAGGAGGATGATGAGGTGGAGGAGGAGGAGGAGGTGGATGAGGAGGAGGGGGAAGAGGAGGAGGAGCAGGAGGAGGAGGATAAGGAGGAGGAGGACGACGATCACAACGACGACGACGACCAGGAGGAGGAGGACGAGGACGTGGAGGAGGAGGAGGAGGAGGCAAGGAGGCAAGGAGGTCGAGCTCCCCCTGCAGCGATACTGAGGCCCCTGCCCCGGCGTCGCCTCTCTGGGCCTCCCTGGTTGCGGAGGGGGATGGCGCCTCGGCCGGAGTCGCCTCGGCATCCTGGCCAGCGCGCGCCCCGGCAGGGGTCGACCTGAACGCTGTCTTGGCGATTTGACTTCGTTTTCGTTTCGACTTCGTTTCGACTTCGTTTTCGTTTCGACTTCGTCGTGGGCCGTTTTCGTTTCGACTTCGTTCTGCAGCCAAGGCGGACTGAAGACGAGACGAGGGACAACGAAAGCAGCACGAGAGCGAAGAGCACTTGTGTAGGTCGATCCCTCACACCCTGGGGCAGAAGCCTCTGGGGGAAGAGGCGCGGCGTCGGTGCCCGCTGCGATCCTGCTCTCCCCAGAAGCCCAGGTGGCTGCGCGACAAGTGGGCGGTGGGCGGCGCCCAGGACGCGGCCGCGTGCCGGGGGCGCAGGAGCTCGGGGCGAACGAGACGGGGATCCCGTGGAGCCGCTGCCGCCTTTCTCTGGCGAGACCGCGCCGATGCCGCTACCTTTCAGCCGGGCATGTCCCCCCTACAGGAGGAACGTTCAAGAATAGCCAAACATGAATATGGGGACGTTTTCGGTTTGTTGTTTGAATCTTTGTCTGGCAATTTTTTATTTTTCCTCGAAGATCCGCCTCTCTAGGGGGACATGCCCGACCTAACGCTACTTCCCGGACCTTTCCCGGGTGCGTTCTTACTAGAAGTTTGCAGCGAATTCCGCGGTGGCGACGAGAGGGCCTCCCGGGACGCCCCGAGAAGGGGGAACCGAGGGAAGGGTAGCGGTATCGGTAATTATTTTGTTCCTCCTCTCAGTTTTCGGGCTCCCAGGGCTCACAGACAGACTCGGGGTGATGATCTTGTCAAAGGCAACGTCCCAGGGTCCAGGGGACCCGCTCTCTCCACGAGACCCGCTTCCCCAGTGACGGAGGAGCGTGTGGAACGACTACTGCAGGAGGAGGGACGTGGAGGCCGTGTTTGTCAGCGGCCAGGGCAGCTCGGAGGCCAGCGGCGAGAGAGCCTCCGAGTCCCCACAGCTCGGCGAGGTCATGCTGCAGCTCGGGGATGGGTCCGCGTGGCCATGGTCCAGGAAGCGCGAGAAGAGGGCAGAGCCGGCAGAGGCGAAGGCGGACGCCGAGTTCGAGCTCGGCAACCCGTCGGAGCCCGGATGCTACATGAGGGCGCCTTCCGGGTGCCCCAAGCATCCCATGAAGACGGATCTTTGGCGGCACGACGCCTGGGCAGAGCACCACGGCTTGGACGAGGAGGGCTGCAAAGGGCGCAAGCAGGTGTGGGACAAGTACTGCGACACGAGCGATTCTAAGATTGTGTTTGTCTTTGTCGACAACGAGACCCTCGTGGCACCGGCGAGGGCGGTGCAACTCAGGGAGTCATCCTCGTGGCCATGGTTCAGCAAGCGTGCGAAAGCTCAGGAGGCGGAGGCAAAGGCGAAGGCCGAGGGCAGGGAAGAGGCAAATGTGGAGGCCGATGCGAAGGCGAAGGCGGATAGCGACTTCGAGCTCGGTAACCCGTCGGAGGCTGGGTGCTACATGAGGGCAGCTTCCGGGTGCCCCAAGCATCCCATGAAGACAGATCTTTGGCGGCACGACGCCTGGGCAGAGCACCACGGCTTGGACGAGGAGGGCTGCAAAGGGCGCAAGCAGGTGTGGGACAAGTACTGCGACACGAACGATTCCAAGATTGCGTTTGTCGGCAACGTGACGATTTGACCAGAACCGAGTAGCATATCCCTCCTCATCGTCCTCGTTGTGGGCTCCTCCGTGAGGCCAGATGGTTTTCAGACCCTGCTCCAAGATTGCACTTGGCGTCTCAGAGCAACCTCAGGCCCTGCCCTCAAAGATCAGGTAACACTGTGTTGTTGTCCTGCACCATCGCGCGCAATTCGTGAGGCGATCTTTGTGGTGGAGAGGCAATCGTTTCATGGCTTTTGCCTAGTCTGCTCTGTATCTTAAGCTTAATCGCGCTGCAATGGCTCATGTCCTGCGCGACCGCCCCGCCTATTTTATCCTTCCTCCTCGTTGCCTTCCCCCCTCCCTTTCTGTCAATTTTTCTCTTTCGATGTATGTTTTGTGTGAGTTAATGTCTCTCTTTCTTTCTTTCTTTCTTTCTCTCTCTCTCTCTTTCTCTCTTCCTTTCTTCTCTGACTCTCTCCCTCTCTCTCTCTTTCTCTCTCTCCGTCCCTGGGTGCGTGGCTGAAGTGGGATTCCGCGATGCGGATTCTTGCGGCTGTTGTTCTTGGTGGTGGTGGTTGTTGGTAGTTGGTTGTTGGTTGTTGGTGGTTGTTGCCGGTGCTGGTTGTTGGTTGTTGGTTGTTGGTTGTTAGTTGTTGGTTGTTAGTTGTTGGTTGTTGTCGCTGCTGCTGCTTTTGTTGTTGTTGCTGCTGCTGCTGCTTTTGCTGTTGTTGTTGTTGTTGTTGTTGAACAGGGGCGGGCGCCGGGCCCCGGCGCTCCCCCCCAACAACAACAACCACAACAACAACAACAACAGCAACAACAACAACAATGCGGACGGCTCCCGCTCGAGACTTCTTCGCCGTTCACTGAGGAATGATGGACTTCTACACTGGCGCCTCGGCGCCCCCTCCCCACCCCAGCTGATGATGATGATGCTGATGGTGATGATGATGATGATGATGATGATGATGATGATGATGCTGATGGTGATGATGATACTGGTCATGATGATGGTGGTGGTGGTGATGATCATGATGCTGATCATGATGCTGATGGTGATGATGATTATGATGATGATGATGATGATGATGATGATGATGATGATGATGATGATGATGATGATGATGGGGTTGGTGGTGATGATGGCAATGATGATGATGGTGATGATGCTGATTATGATGATGATGATGGTGATGATGAAGATGATGATGGTGGTGGTGGTGGTGGTGGTGGAAGTGGTGGTAGTGGTGATGATGATGATGATGACGATTAGGGTCTTCTACTAGGCCTCCTCCCAGGTCTCCTACAAGACACGGTCAACAGCTGGTGGGACCCCTATAGGGACCCCGTTACAGCTGGTGGGGTCCCTATAGGGATCCTATTGCAGCTGGTAGGACCCCGATTCGGATCCTATGACAGCTGGTAGGATCCCAATATCGATCCTTTTCCAGCAGGTAGGATCCCTATATGGGGTCCCATTACAACTGGTAGGATCCCAATAGCGCTCCTACCAGAGATGGTCGGATCCCTATATGGATCCTAGTGCAGCTGGTCGGATCCCTATCGGGATTTTATTACGGCTGGTAGGATCCCTGTCGGGATCCTATTCCAGCCAGCTGGTAGGATCCCTGTAGGGATCCTATGACAGCTGGTGGGATCCCTGTAGGGGATCCTTTTGCAGGTGGTGGGATCCTTGTAGGGATCCTATCGCAGCTGGTCGGAGCCCTATAAGGATCTTATTGCAGCTGGTAGGATTCCTATAGGAATCCTGTTCCAGCTGGTCGGATCCCGGATCCTATTGCACTTGGTAGGATCCCTATGGGGATCCGACTGCAGCTGGTAGGACCCCGATTAGGATCCCATGACAGCTTGTAGGATCCCATTAACGATCATTTTGCAGCTGGTAGGATCTCTATAGTGATATTATGGCAGCTGGTAGGATCCCTATAGGGATCCCGTCACAGCTGGTAGGATCCGTACAGGGATCCGATGACAGCTGGTAGAACCCTTGTAGGGGTTTTATTAAAGCTGGTAGGATCTCTGCAGTGATCCTATTACAGCTGGTGGGATCCCTACAAGGATCCTGTTACAGCTGGCATCATCCCCGTAGGCATCCTATTGCAGCTGGTAGGATCGCCGTAGGATCTGATTGCAGCTGGTAGGATTCCTGTAGGGATCTTATTGCAGCTGGTAGGATCCCTGTAGGGATCTTGTTGCAGCTGGTGGGATCCCTACAAGGATCTTATTGCAGCAGGTATGATCCTCATATGGATCCTATGACAGCCGGTAGGATTGAAGAGGAGGATCCTTATCGGTTTCTGTAGGATCCTTGTAGGGTGTCTGTAGGATCCTTATAGGGTTTCTGTAGGATACTCATATGGGTGTCTGTACGATCCTTATAGCGTTTCTGTAGGATGCTCATAGGATTTCTGTAGGTTCCTTACAGGGTTTCTGTCGGATCCCTGTAGGGTTTCTTTTATAGGATCCCTGTAGGTTTTTTTCCCCAATCTGATCCCTGTGTTTTTTTGTATAGGATCCCTGTCTGGTTTCTATCGGATGCCTGTAGGGTTTCTGTAGGATGCCGGTAGGGTTTCTATAGGATGCCTTTAGGGTTTCTATAGGATCCCATGCAGGGGTTCTATAGGATCCCATGTCGGGTTTCTATAGAATTCCTTTCTTCTCTAGCGCGCACACGTAAGTCACCGCTCCGATGCAGCACCAGGAGTCCTGAGGGACCCCTCATTAAAAATCCCGGCGTTGTTGTTGTTGTTGAATTCTCATTTCAGAAGAATTTGTTATTGTCGATTCCCCCCCCCGCCGGTGCATATTGTTTTTTCGCAACCATCCTGTGGTGTTGGGTCCTCGTTTTGAAGAGACGGTGGCCCGCGTCTCCTCTCATATTCTCCTCCGCCTCCCCTCCTCGCCCATTTCGGTACACCCCTCACACGGTTTCGTGGCCCCATATGGAGCTCCACCGAAGGCCCCAGTGGCCGCGTTCGCATGGCGGCCTCGGGCCGTTTCGGCACACCCCTCACGAGGATCGTGGCCCCATAAGGAGCTCCACCGAAGGCCCCAGTGGCCGCGTTCGCAAGGCGGCCTCGGGCCATCTCGGCACACCCCTCACGAGGATCGTGGCCCCACAGGGAGCTCCACCGAAGGCCCCAGTGGACGCGTTCGCATGGCGGCCTCGGGCCATTTCGGCACACCCTTCACGAGGATCGTGGCCCCATAGGGAGCTCCACCGAAGGCCCCAGTGGCAGGGTTCGCATGGCGGCCTCGGGCCATTTCGGCACACCCCTCACGAGGATCGTGGCCCCATAGGGAGCTCCACCGAAGGCCCCAGTGGCCGCGTTCGCATGGCGGCATCGGGCCATTTCGGCACACCCCTCACGAGGATCGTGGCCTCCACCGAAGGCCCCAGTGGCCGCGTTCGCATGGCGGCCTCGGGCCATTTCGGCACACCCATCACGAGGATCGTGGCCCCATGGGGAGCTCCACCGAAGGCCCCAGTGGCAGCGTTCGCATGGCGGCTCGGGCCATTTCGGCACACCCCTCACGAGGATCGTGGCCCTATAGGAGCTCCACCGAAGGCCCCAGTGGCAGGGTTCGCATGGCGGCCTCGGGCCATTTCGGCACACCCATCACGAGGATCGTGGCCCCACAGGGAGCTCCACCGAAGGCCCCAGTGGCAGGGTTCGCATGGCGGCCTCGGGCCATTTCGGCACACCCCTCACGAGGATCGTGGCCCCATAGGGAGCACCTCCGAAGGCCCCAGCGGCAGCCTCCTTCATGGCTCTCAGAGCCCTCTCCTGCTTCTGCTTCTCGGTCAGGGGGGCGCCGTCCTCGTCGTCGTCGGCGCCCGCGAAGACGGCCACGAACGTGCCCCTGAATACGTCGGGCTCGGGCGGGAAGTTGTGGCCGCATCGGGAGCGCGGGCGAAGATGTTATTCGCAAGTGCGGTAGTCACAACTGCGCATGGTTGGGTCTTTCGCCAAGCTAATTCTCAATCAAAGTGTGCCCCTCGACGCTCGCACCCTGTTTTTTGACAGGGGAAGTCTTCATGCTCAAAATAAGCCCCTGGCCCCCGGGGTAAAACAACAACGGCTCCCGCTTGAGACTTCCTTACACTTTAGCCAGGACCCCCGCTCCCGCTCGAGACTTCCTCGCATTGTATGCAGGAATCGCGCTCTCGCTCGGGACTTCCTTCGAATTTATTCAGGAATCGCTCTCCCTGCGCTCTGGGATCGCACTCTCGCTGGAAACTTGCTTGCAACTTACTGAAGACTGGCCTTGTGTTGGAATTTCTTGCAATTTGCCCAAGTGCCGCGCTCCCGACACCCAGGCACCCAGGAGTCGCGCCCGTTGTGGCCCCATGTGCATGCCCTTCGTGGCCCCGCTGTCGCCATTTGTGTCCCCCTCACTGTCCTACGTGGCCCAGTTGCTAGCTACCCTCAGTGGCCCCATAGTTGCCTTCTTTGCCCCCGCATTATCTGCACTTCGTGGCCCCCGCTCGTTCGCGCTCTTCGTGGCCCCATACGCATTCCCTTCGTGTCCCCGCTGTCGCCCTTCGTGGCCTACTTCGTGCCCTTCGTGGCCCTGCTGTCTCTCTCTCTCGCTCTCGCTTTCGCTCGTCTTCGCCGTCGTCGTCGTCGTCGTCGTCTTCGACGTCGTCGTCGTCGTCGTCGTCGTCGTCGTCGTCGTCGTCGTGGTCGGTCCCCTGTCCGTCCCTCTTGGGGTCGGGTCGACGGTCCGCGGCCGCCCCGCCGATCAGCGCTGCCGCTGGCCAGGCCGACGGTCCGCGTCCGCCCCGCCGCTTGCCGGGGCCCGGCCTGCAGGGAAGAAAGGTATACCCCCCAAAACGGGTTCGATCGAAGACGAAGAGGGCGGGTATCGAGGGTTTGGGAAATACGCGTTATTGGACACTCGAGCATATGAGGGCGAACAGTCTTAAAATTATTATTATTGTTGTTGTTGCTGTTGTTGTTGTTATTGGAGGGGGGGGGTTGGGGACCCCGGGGCCCGGGACGATTCCTGCCCCCTTTTGGGGGTGAGCTCTGGAGGAGCCCGAGCGCCGGGGCCCAGGGAAGGTCCCTGTCCTTGTTGTTGTTGTTGTTGTTGTTGTTGTTGTTGTTGTTGTTGCTGTTGTTGTTGTTGTTGTTGTTGTTGTTGTTGTTGTTCGGTAAGGCGTTGGCACCGGCCCCGGCTTGTTGTTGAGATGTTCTTCTTCTCTCAAAACCCAAGTGCTTATCCTTAAGGGTAAGCAATGCTCCAGCAACCGAGGGCTTGCCCCACGGGGCCGGTGGGGGCTGGCACTGGGGCGGCAGCGCAAGGTGCCCCACGGGGCCGGAGAAGGGGTCGGCATTCCTGGCGCGTTTCCAAAAGGTTTTCCCAGGATTTC